CAGAGCCTGGAGGCTGGGAATTGGGTTCTGACTTCCTACCTCCCCTTCAGTCCTCTGCCTAGCTGGACCTTGCTTGGGTCCCTGTACCTCAGCTGTAGTCTTGTGTTTTCTTTGTGGTCCCCTCACCATCAAGTGTGGATTGCTGATTGGGTTCTAGGAGGCAAGGAGCCTGATTAGGCTTTGTAAACCGTAAAGGGTTTTGCCCGGGCAGTGATGGTGTTACTTGGGCACATGACCGTTTCAAACACTCATATGAAGATAGCTTGCATGGGTGTTAAGGGGACACTGGCTGTAGCCTTTTTCTGGGAAGTTGCCGGCATGATGGTGGTAAGACACACCAGGTTTAGGGCTTGGAGGGTGGTGCAGCCCAGTTTCTGCCTGATTCTTTGGCCTCTGTCCCGGACCTTCCCAGTCTCAGTTTTCCATCTGAGAAGTAGGAGCAGGCATCCTGATTTCTGAAGCAACTGAAGCACTAAGCCAAGAGCATGTGGGCTTGAGCTTTGCCTTTCTGAGGTCTCTTACCTCTTCCTCAGCCTCACTGCTCCTGTGTACTCACATTATCCTGTCTGTAGCTGCACCAGCCACAGCCCTGAGGGCCATGATAAGACTGTGGCCACCTTGTCACTGGCCCCTGGGGCTCTGGGGAGTACCTAGGCCAAGGGAGGCTGAGCTGGAAAGGAGTTTCAATGCAAAGCCCCCAAATTGCTAAGGCTGAGTCTGGTTCCAGGAAAGCTGGCCCCAAATGATAGGCTAGAACCACAGGCCAGAGGCCTGACTGCTGCCCCGCCCACTCTGGGCATACAGCACTGCTGGGGAGGAGGGGGATCTCTGGGCTCTGGGGTGGTGCCTCTCTAGGGTTGGTGGGGTCTGCAGGCAGAGCTCTTGGGTGGAGAGGGGTGTTTTTCTAAGGGGTCAAAGATCTGAGCTAGGACCTTACTTCACAGTCCTTGCTGAGATGACCTGTAGGTTATCCTGACATTAATCACCTAGATTTGTAGGATGGCGTGGGTAGCAGTGGGTGCGTGTAGGGCAAACCCAGTTAGATTCATGAGTGGACCCAGCAAGGGTGTGTTGGGATGCAGGACCACCCATGGCTCAGAGGAAGGGCAGATGGTGTCACACAGTTTGCAGGATGTGGGCCGGATCTTGCTCTGTGGACTCAGAGCCAGATTTGGGTGTGTAGGCTTGGGAGCCTGGGTCTGGGCTGCCTTGGCCGGGTCCCTAGGCAATGCTAGTGGGGCCAGGCTGTGGCCAGGCTTCACTATCCTGAGCCAGAGCAGCAGAGTCAGACTCTTGGGCCTCTGTAATTACAGGGGTGAGAGCTGTGGCTGAGCGCTGGAGCAGGGGTGAGACTCCCAGAGTGAGCCAGCTCTGGGGCCTCCACTTGAGGACCCAGGTTTCTCTGAGAGGGACTGGAAGGAGGGCAGCATGGCCTATTCCTTGAGCTCTGTAGGCTCTGCCTTTCTGCGTGTCTGCCCCCATTTTGGAGAAAAGAAAACTGAAGTGAGAATTCCCTGTTGTTCTTGGTTCTCCATTATTCCTGACCACTGATAACACTGATGACATTTATTGAGTGCCTATTATGTGCCAGACACGGTGCTAATCATTTTGCATGGATTGACCTACTTAAACCACAGCACAACCACGTGAAGCAGGTCTTAAGATTAAGCCATATTCCTGAGGAGGAAAGTGGGTCAGAGAGGTTGTAGTTTGCCTAAGGTCACACAGCAGGGAAGATGGGAAAGCCAGGATTTAAATCCAGATGGTCTGGTTCTAGAGCCTATGCTCTTGAGAATTCAGCTAAGCTGTCTGCTGCTCTGAGAGAGGCTCGGGCAGGGTAAAGTGGGGTGATGATGACTATGCTTGAGGAAAACAAGGCTGAACACCAGGTGGCTATTCTGGCTGACTAGGAGGAGACCTTAGGAGCATGCTGTCTAGACTTCTTCCCATCTAAGGCTGCTTGAGTTGGAGGTCCCTGAGGTTAGTGTGGGCTTTTTCTTAGATCCTGGTATGTATGTATGTATGTATGTATGCATGTATTTATTTATTTATTGGTACTGGGGATCAAACTCAGGACCTTGAGCTTGTGAGGCAGGTGGTGGCACCACTGAGCTAAATCCCCAGCCCAGATCCTGGCCTTTATGAGGACTGATCCAGCAGGTGAGACCTGGCTGGAGGAGGGAAGAGGCGTGTCCTGGGGTCTTGGCCTCGGGTCTGGACTTGAATCCTCTGGGCTGCTGAGGGACCCACAGGGATTGGGAGCTCACTGTGAGCATCTGGGAGCAGCTGGCGGGGTAAGTCAGGGCCACAGGTATCCAGATCTGGGATTCCTTGAGGTTATAGGGACCTGTAACAGAACCAAGATCCTCCTTCAAGAATCTTAGAGAGTGGAGGGGTATCCTAGGGGACCTGAGCTTGGGCCCTGGAGGAGGCAGATCTTAGCAGACAGACTTGGACATTTCAGGAAGGAGATACAGCAGTAGGCAGAGCTTGGAGGCACAGGGCAAGTCACAGGCAGCTCCCAGGGACCAGGTCAGTGGCTTCCAGTCACCTGACCAGAGCAGTGTGTTTATGGATTCTTGGATCTCACTTTTATTTTTTATTATTTTTTTAAGAGTTGGAGAAAATGTATTGAGGGAAAGAAAGCATCTGTCTAAGAGAGACAGAAGGGGGGCCGGAAAGTGGGTTGCCTTGGATCTCACTTTTAGACAGGATAATTCTGCAGATCTCGGAGGGGCACAGGAATCTGTATCTTAACAAGTGTCTTCTCCAAAGTGACTGGACTTCTCAGGTAGGTTGGGGACCACTGATCTTTCTTTCTTTTTTTCTTTTCTTGCCCCACCCTCTTTCTTTTTCCTTTCTCACTATGTAGTTCAAGCTGGCCTTGAATTTATATGTAGTCCAGGCTGGCCTCAAACTCATAGTGATCCTCCTGCATGCTAGGATTATAGGTGTGCGCCACCACGCCTGGCCACTGATCTTTCTTGTCACTCCATTTTCCCAGAAGGAAATGGAGGTCCAGGGAGGTAAAGGATCACAGATAGTGGTATTCTCCTTAGCCTGGAGTTCAGGGGCTATGTGTATGTGTGTGTAAGGAGGTGGGGCTATTGCTGGGTTAGGCCAGATCATAGAGGCCCCAGTGCTAGAAGTCTGGGCCCTGTTTGGGCAGCACTGGAGAGCCATAAGTGTTACTGGCAGTCACACTCAGTGAGCTGACATTCTCAGATCAGTCTGGCACATGCTGAGGACTCAGTCCATATAAACTGTGTGTGTTGTTGTCGTTAGTAGTATTACTGAACCAGAGGCATGGGCCATTGGATCTTGAGGAAGTCATTCTTGATTCCATGGCATGACTAAGAGATGAGCCACAGCATTAGTTTCTTGAGTCCAGAAACTGCCCTGAGGTCTCAGGGCCCCAGCACAGGACCTAAGACCTAGTTGGAGATTGCTAAGGGCTTGATAGATCCAGCTGCAGAAAGGATGCAGATGAGCTGGCAGAGGCTGAAGACAGGGAGGCCAGGAAAGAGGCTGGGTGGCAGAGAACGTCTGGTGCCTATTCATGGGAATAAGGGCAATAGGGAAAGGGTCCCAACTGACTCCCAGGTGTCTGGCCTAGGTGTGCAGTGCTGCTCAGGGCAGCGGGACAGTGGTGAGCTGTGGACTGAGGGCCTGAGAGGCTGGGGAAAATGAGAGATGAGTGAGTCTGAAGGATGAGCCATCAGAGGTAGCTGCAGTCAGGGGAATGAGGCAGGTGAAGACATGGAGCTGGGGAGGGAAGAGGACTCTTCCAAGGGCTTCTTCTGGGAAGAAGGAATGCTGGCTGAGGGGACAGGTCAAGACTGTCCTCATGGCTGGGATGAGTGAGGTACAAACACATGTGTGGGCTGCTTCATGGGAGCCAGAAGCCAGGGAGAGGCTGGAAGCCCAGGCCAGCTGAGCCAGGGGCCAACTAGTGCAGGATCTCTGTGAGGCCCCCAAGGCCTGCTGCATGTGGGTGAGAAAATTCAGGGGTCCTATTGTTCCAGAGTGTGTCTTTGGAGGAGGAGGATCCTGTGGCCAGAGAGCCTTTCTGGGTGTGGATTTGGAGTGGCTGCCTAGAGAGGCTTTCCTTGTGGCCTGGTACAGTAAGGGGCTACCCTGGGTTGGGAGCCCCACCTTGGGTTAGTGGGGCTGGGGCCTGGCTTGGCCTGAGCTGTGGGAAGCTGTTCCTGGGCAAGAGGCCCGTCCTGTGACCCACCAAACCTCAGCCTCCAGGAAAGAGGCTAAAAATAAGGCTGTGGTAAAGCAGGGAGGGAGTATGTGGGCTCAAGCCAGGCTGGAGCCCAGAGGAAAATGTGAGGATACCAGCCGAGCTGCTGTGACACACGCTTCCCGTGCCAGCAGCCAGTGGGATCTTGTCCTCCTGCAGCCATGGCTCCTTCCAGGCCCGGAAGAAGGAAAAAAAAGCCCAGGAAGGTTCAGAGAGGGCCTGACCTTGGGCCTCACTAACTGCAGGAGGCCTTGCTCCCTGGCCTTTCTCCTAGAACATGGGCATTAGACCCAAGGCCGTGCTCTGTATGGCAGTGGGCAGGTGCGAGTAGGAACCCAAAGCTTCCTGTATCCTGGCTCTAGACTTCCCAGGAGTTCTGGGACCTTCAATGCCCATCTGGATGTGAGAAGTATTTCTCCCCCTTGCAAGGAGCTCTATGTGGTAGAGGAAATCAGGGGGAGGCTTCCTGGAGGCAGAGGCAAGCAGATGCTTGGCCTCTAAATCATTGAATGGGGAAGTGACAAGTTGGAAGGCTGTGCTGTGTGCCGTAAGAAGGAAGCCGGAACGCTGATTGGTTATGGAGGTAGGATGTCTCTGTGATGGCCATTTTGATATTTACACCGTCCAACTCTGATGGCTGCTAGGCCTCATCCTTCCTTTGGGCTGTAGGCAGGGTACAGTCCTGGGACCCTGGGGATTTTTCATTCTCCTCTCAACTCTACTCATCCTTTCATCCACCTAGGGCCGAAATGGTGACAGTCCCCATCCTGGTTCTGCTGATGACTTGTTATGGCCTCTGCCCTGCTTGTGGTCACCCACAGAGTTCCTTCCTGTGGGCTAGCTGTGTGCTGGAGACAAGAGCAAACCACAAGGAGGCAGCATGGCAGAGAAGTAAGACTGACTTTGGGCAACAGACCTGATGTGAAATATGTGTTTTATCTTCCTCTCTTGCTGCCATTGAGCTCTTAAAATCCTTGAATCTTCAAGATCTTCTATACCTTTTGTATGAGCTGGCAGCCCTTGGGTAGTTTCAGAGTAGGAGCTGCCCATGGGGAAAACCAACGCAGGATTAGAGATTGGCACTTTCAGTCCTACCTCCAGCCTCCCAGGAGGGAAGAGGGGCTGAAGGTGAAGTTGACCATCCTGAGCCAAGAATTTAATCGATCATGCCTCTGTAAGGGAGCCTCCATAAAACCCCGCAAGAACAGATCTGGACAGCTTCTGGGTCGTGGAATAGGAGGTTCCGGGAGGGGAGAGAAACACTATGTCCCTTCCCACATGCCCCACCTTGTGCATTGCGTCATCCCAATGCTTTGTGACTTCCTTAATGATAAACAGGTGAATGTTGATGTTTCTCTGAGTTCTGTGAGCTGCTCTAGCAAAATCAAAGCCAAGGAGGGGTGAGGGAACCCTGATTTCTACCTTGTTGGTCAGAAGCCCAGGTCAGACAACCTGGGGCTGTCATGGGTATCTGAAGTGTAGGAGCCATCTTGGGGACTGAGCCATTGCCCTTATGGGATCTGATGCCACTCAGGTAGATAGTGCAGAGCTGAATCGAATTGCAGGATGCCTAGCTGATGACTTCTGTAGGACCAGATGTTTGTTTGTGGCAACCCCTCCTACCCCAGTTTGTCCATAGGGGTGGTCTGTGTCATGAGAGTATAGTGGGGGAAACTGAGCTTGGATTTTTCTTCAATATTCTTAGACCTGGTTTCCAACCTTGCAGCCAAAATCTAACATGCGAATCAGGCATGGTGTCACACACATGTAATCCCAGCACTCAGAAGGTTGAGACAAGAGGATTGCTGTAAATTTGAGGCTAACCCTGGCTGCACAGTGAGTTCAAGTCCAGCCTGAACTACATAGTGAGACCCTGTCTCCCCCCACAAAAAAGTTAAAAACCAAACCAAACCAAAACACTCTACTGTGCTATGTGACAAATCGTACCATGTCTTTTTTGTTGTTCTTTTGTTTTGTGTTTTGAGACAGGGCCTTGCTTTGAACTCACTATATAGCCTTGAACTTGAGACTGTCCTGTCTCAGCTTCCTGAGTGCTGAGACTACAGGTGTGCACCCAGCTGCCTTAAGTCTTAAAGCACGAAAGTCCAACACTTTATCTTGTGAGTGTGAGCCGCATCGAGTAGAGAGGAATTGTCTTAGATTCCCTATAAAATATGTAATGCATATAAGTAGCAAAACTCCCTTTTTATATTTTACTTATTATTTTATGAAATAACACAATAAGCCCAAATGTAATAATTAAATGAGGGAACTCACATGTCACTTCTGACGTGTGAGATGTGGTGATAGAGGAGAATGGAGCATTAACTTATTGAAGGTGGCAGAAGGGGAGAGATCAAGGAAGGCATCTGAGCTAGTCTTAAAGGAGTGGCAAGGATTAGCATCACCAGCCAAATGGTGCCAGAATAGAAGAGCAAGTGTGTCATGGGGAAGGGCGTGGTGATGGGATGACAGAGGGGTGGTGATGAGGTGGTACCCAGGAGCTGAGGCTGGAGTGTGGGATTGGCAGGGCTGGTCCTACAGCTTGTAACCTGGTGCTGGGCTTGGGCACTGGGGAGCCATAGGCGACAGTTGCTAGGAAAGAAAGATTTGGGAAGCTGAGGCCCTGGGATGGGTTTTATGGCCAGGAGGTGAGTGTGGACAGCTCCCCAGGCCCTTGCTGCCTACAGATCCTGTAGGCCTCTGGACTCCTGAGGCTGGGTTGGGGCAATTTGGGTGTCCCACAGGGGCTCTGTCATCCCCAGGCCCAGGACTGGTCTCCAGCTTCCACATTGGAGGCAAAAGCATTGCCCCATTCAGCCTTAGTTATTAAGTCGTGAACTGGCCCTCACCAAGCCTCTTCTTATGGTAAGCAGGGCAAACCCAGTCAGGGCATTGACGAGGAGAAGGCTAGCTTCTTGGGGATTTGGGGCTGCCAGGACACCAGCTGAATCTAATTCTGCAGTCCAGGAAAATGCTCAGCATCCCATCCAGGCTGGGTTTCGAGAGGCAGTGACGTTCTGTCTCTTTGCACCTTGGGTGCTCCCAGCCACTAGACCAGACCCTCAGAAAATGCTTGGAGATCTGCTTTCTCCCATTTCCTTGTTGTGTGACTCTGAGCACATGGCTTAACTTCCCATGCCTCAGTTTCCTTGTCTATCAAACAGGATAACAGGACCAGCCTCACTGGGCTATGTGACATTAAACAAGAAATTTAGTGCCCAGCAATATAAACTCTTTCATTTTCTGTGCTGTGGTCACCACCATTGGGAAGAGCTCAGTTCTCCAAGGGCCTCTGTGGGGCCTGTTTTTTCCTCCTTTGTCCCTGCCCCTTCACAGTGCAGATGTGGAGGAGGGGGCTGGGGTGGGGCCTGTTGTGCTGTCCTCAGAGATAAGCTAAGGTGGGGCCCCTGGGGCCTGGGGCTGCAGGGTGCCCTCAGGAGGCCTGGTTACAGGAGGTGGGAGGGGTCCAGGATCCTGCTGGGCTCCCAGGCAGCCATGGCTCTGTCTATCTGTTGGCAGCTATGGTAGTTCTAGGTTTCCAGTTGGCCTCCTCACCAGGCAGGGTCCTAACGGGAGAGCAGAAGTAGCCAGGTCTGGGAGCAGGCACAGCCTCAAGGACCCCCCTTGTCTCAGAAAGCAGGCCTGGAGCCCTGTCCACTTCCCTCTGCACCTTGGCTCCTACTTCTGCAAACTGGCTGTGCTGGTTATATTTCAGAGCACAGTTGGAGTGAGTTTGTGTGTGTACATATATGTGTGTGCACTTGTGTGTGCATGCATGTGCTTATGCACAGGAGCAGGACAGCCTGTGAGTGTTGCTGTGGGCTGCCCCTGCCCTCTCCTGGTTTCAGTGGATACTCATAGCTCTCTGGGCTGGAGACTTTGTGGTCTCTTTGAAGGAAGGGTCATGCCTGTTGCTCCCGTCCTAAGCTTTAATCCAGCACTGGGCCACACAGGTGGCAAGATGGAAGATGTGACTGGCTGTGCCCCTGAGTGAGCACAGGGGAGCTTTGCTCATCCCAGTACTTCAGGCCACTGCCGTGGTTGAGGGCTGGGACCCTGTCTCCTGCCCCAGAGAGGGTGGCAGAGAAGCCTGGCCTTTACGGTTTGCAGTGGTCAGGCTGGCTTGGATAGGGTAGAGGCTGCAGCACAGCAGAGTTCTGCAGATGGGGCTGCAACTGGGACTGGGGGTCACCTAGGTGGAGTGGGGTGATGGGGCACCCAGGGGTCCGAGACCCCCAGTAAGTACCCTCTATCTCCCTCTCCAGGCGTCCTTCTGGACATCCAACAGCACTTTGGGGTCAAGGACCGAGGTGCCGGCTTGCTGCAGTCAGGTGAGGCTCACCATCCCCCTTTGCCTCTTGCCCAGGTGCTGGCTCCTCAAGTCCTCCTGTTGGCTGTCCTTCTCCCCAGGTCTCTCTTCCCTGGCCCTCGATTCTCGAATGAGCAAGGAAGGGCTTTGCATCCAGGTCCCACCACTACTGGCCACTAGTGGGACTTTTCTGAGCCTCTACTTGTAAAATGGAACCTATATGGAAGAGCAACAGGGGTGTAGGCAAAGGGTCCTGGGGCCTCCTGAAGACCCATTGATCTAGGTCCCTTCTTGAGCCCGGTAAGGGGAGCTCCTTCCATCAATAAATTGGGCAATGCCAACAGTGCCTCAGTGACCCTGTTTCCATCTCACGCCCCACCTTCCACTGCCACCAGTCTTGGGAGTTATGCCTTAGATGACACAGTGAGGCCCTGAGAACCTGGGTCTTAGGCTAGACGTGGGCTTCCTTTTCCCTGGGCCTCACCAGCCTGCGGTGAGCTGAGCAGGAGCCATGTGTGAAGCCGTTGAGCAGTTACCCCAGCTTGTCAGCCCCTCCCTCTGGGGAGACGCCCTGTCCCCTTGTCCCTGCCCTACCCCCTCTGTGAACCTAAAGGCCACGGGCTGCTGGCTCCCTGGCCTACCCTGGCTGTTGCCCTGCTGGCTGTGCTAAGCAGTCTCTCTCAGCCTGGGTGGAGCCTCCGTCCAGTGCCATAGTCCAGGGCTGGGGGCAGAAAGTCTGGTCCTGACTCGTCCCCAACCTTGCTGTTTGATCCCAGCCTGAAGCCTGCCTGTCTGTGGGCTCTTGGCCCTGGAGTCCCTCTGGCTGTGAGGCCCAGTTCAGTGTGTGGGAGAAGAGCTGTGATCTGCATCACAGTCTGCGGACCCTTTCCCTTCCCCTGGCTGGCCTGGTAGGGTGGGGGTAGAGCAAGCTGCTCTGTCCAGGAACTTGCCTGACCTGTTTAGGTGGCATTCCGATATACACAATGCCTCCTTGAGCTCAGAGAATGCCAGAGCCGCTTTGGCCTGGCCACTTGCCTTAATATCCCAATGGGGTCTTTTTGGCTCAGAGAGAGGGAATGTGATTTCTCAAGGGCTCAGTCTAAATTAGTGAGACTTACTAGAGTAGGGTAGGGATATATGGTGTAGTAGCCCCCATGGGTGGCCAGGCCTTGCCCTGTAGATATCACCTCTACCCAGGCCCTGAGTTCAAACACCCAGCCCCTGTCCCTTCCTGGGCCTCCTTGTCTGGGTTAGAGTAAGTCAGCCTGCCCTGGGTAACCCTGGACTCTGAACACTCTGTAACTAGAACTCGCTGAGAAGATGGGGTCTGTACCAGATGGGAACGTGGGAGGCAGTGGGCTGCCAAGCTAGTGAGGGAAGAGCAGGGGAGAGCCCTGTCGTGCAGCCCCCACCCTGCGTGGCCCCTGAGTCACTGAGCCCCAGTCGGTCTGGTCCGGACCGTGCTGTCTGTGTGCCCTGAGCCTCCTCCATTCAATGCTTCCAGCATGGGTTCTCCACATTGTCTCCAGGGGGAGGATGGGGCATTGGTCCCAGGGCAGGTGTGCAGGTCAGCACTCCATCCCTTCTGCAGTTATGTTCCAGGCTGGCTTCTCAGCTCACAGGAGAGATGCCAGTCTTCGCCTATCCTGAGTGAGCTGGCTAGAAGTGGATAGTTCACCCACAGGCATCATCCTGCTGGACTCTTTCAGTAACTCCACAGGCTCCCTTTGCCAGCTTCATTGGCCAGAGGAGAGAGAGAAGTTCAGAGAGGGAAGCAGCTTGCTTAAGGCCTCATAGTGAAAGAGCATCAGCTGGAGATAGGGATCCAGAAGAGGCCTCTGCTGGGAATCCAGTGGGGCTTGAGTGTGTGGTATCTTAGTATCCCCAGGGGGATGCCTCTGGGACACGGTGAGAATCCCCAGCACTTCAGTCTTGTGAGTCCTTAGCCCATGGTGTTTACCCTACCACCTACTTCTGTCCCCAGCATCCTTACCCCTTCAGCCATCTGAGCCAAGAAGCCAGTTGAGCCAGACCAGGATGTGACTCAGTGGGCAACTAGGCAAGTCACCTAATTGGCCTGGGCCCCGGGCACCTGTCTCTTCCCCAGCCCTGATAAGGTCGGAGCTGGGTGGAGGGCGCCAGTTTGGTGTCGGTGCTTGCCCAGATCAAAGGGTCGAGGTGGGAGCAGGCTGCCTGCCTCTTTGTGGGCACAAGGGGCTGCTGTTCCAGGAGAACAGGGTAGGGGGTGCCTGAAGGTCAGGCCTGGGCCTGCCTTGCTATTTCCTTGGGAGCAGAGCATAACTGGCTTGGGAAAGGCCCACTTCAGCATCCTCCCAGCACATTGCTGCCAGCTCAGCAGCCTGGCCCCTGGTTTGCCTGTAGGAGCCACAACTCAGCCATTGTGACAGCACACAGCAAGATTACAGCTCATGCATTTGGCCATATTGGGAACCTCCACAGCTCACATCTAAAGGGGTAGCTGCTACTGAGCCTGTCCTCAGCAAGCCCTGTGCTAGACTCAGTCTGTCATCAGATAGAGTCCTTCTATTTGTAGGAACAAAGAATGGATCATCCAGTCACCACTCAGGCATTGCGTGGGGAGGACTGTGGGAACCTGTGTGGATGGGATGGTAGAGGATGTGCACCTAGCTATGACCTGAGGCAGGTGAAGACTTCCCTGAAGAGGGGAGATTTGAATGGGGTTTTGAAGGCTGAGTTAGAGTTTGTTAAGGGGAGAGGACTTCTGGTTAGTTTTTCAGATTCAGTTAGATATGAGGAAACCCTTTTCCCTGCTCCCAAGCTAGAAAAATATGTGAAGAAAACATGTTTAAATTACATAGTTCAGTTTAAAAGCTAAAGCTAATAGGATAGGGAAATTCCCAGGTTTCAGAAGCAAAGAGCTGAAGTAAAAAACTGGAGTGAGAGTTGGAATCAAAGCCAGATGATGCAGAAGATTTATGGATGAAATCTATATCTCAGAGACTTTTTACAGTACTTTTCATATAAGCATTTTTTCATGAAAAAATTTAAACATTCATAAAAGTAGAGAGGACAGTACAACATACCTCCGTGTGTTTATCACCGAGATTCATCAAATTTTCTTCAGTCTGGCCCATGTTCTAGGCTCAGGGCCTCTTCACTCCGAGGACTGGGCAGAGCCAGTTGACATCCCAGGGTCATGTGATGATTCAGTCTCCCCCCCACCGGAGTCCAGGCAAGTCTTCTGGTCCTTATGGGTGCCCAGGCTGGCGGTGGCTTTGTGGAGCTCCGCTGCATGCCTGGATGTCTCCTTTGTGAACTTGGCCTTATCCAGAGAGCTTAGTCCTGGTCCCGGCTCCTCCCAGGCCCAGGCTTTCACTCCTTTCCCCACGGAAGCTGGGCATTTCAAGGTACCCAGGCAGAAGGAAATCCCAAGCTGCTCCTTGGGAAGCCTCATGACCCAGAGCCTGCAGGGTTGACTGTTCACTCTGAAGACGAACTCAAATTGAGAATTAATAGAGCAATAGGAAACTCATCTTTGTGAGAGGGCATCAGCTGGCCGCCCACACTGGCTGAAGAGCCATGGAGTATAAGCTCATTTCAAAGGAACTTTCAAATTTGGAATGCTTAATTTGCAAAGCTCAAAGGAAAGAGCAGCGTTCATAAGACAAGAGTAGTGCGTTATGAAAAGAAGATGTTGAAAAGACCCAAACTCAAAAATTCTAGCAGTGAAAAAATGAAGCTATGAAAATAATAGATATAATAATTAGATCCAGCTGAACAGAAAATAGGCAAATTAGAAGACAGATCTGAGGGAGTCCATGAAAGCAGCACAGGGGATATGAGAGAGCAGGTTGATTGTGTGACACTGCCACAGACTGGAGTGGGGAGGATGGAGAGAGAGGAGGCGACCGTGGGCAGGTCTGACTGCGGAAGGTTTGAAGATTGGGTGAAGGCCTCTCAGGGAAGGTTTTAGAGCACGACAAGTCCCTGTAAGATGCATGTGCCAGTGTTCACTCTGGAGCCGAGTGCAGGAGAGATGGCAGAGGAGGCTGGAGTTTGTGGGGCCATGAGGAAGTGATAGGGTTAGAGTGGGGATGGAGGAAGAGCCAGCTCAGACTGAAACCAGACAGTGCCTCTAGTTTGGGGCTGTCTTTCTGGCCTTCCCTCTCCCCTTGGCCTTCTTAGTGACAGCCTTAGTTTGGGCAGACTTGGGTTCCCCTATGGCCAACCTCCCAGGGCCCTGCTCAAAAGGGGCACATGAACCTTAGTTCTCCTGAGCTGGAGGGGCCAGCACATGGCTACAGCCGGGTAGGGGGTAAAGGGAGGTGGTCCCCACTCTACCTTCAGGAGTCCAAGCATGGTGGGCTTCCAGGCAGCAGTGGGGCCCTCTGTCCTAGTCCTTCCTATCAGCTGGGCTGGCCTGCATTGTCCCTTGGATGGCAAAGCCCGGCCCCTGCCCATCCCATGCCTTCTTGAGCATCCTCCCTGCCCACAGGATGTGGACAATGGTGAGTCTTCCCTAAATAACAGGTCAACTAGAGCCTGGACTTCATAAAAATAGCCTCAGCCTGAGCTGAGCCAGGAGCTGAATGCAAGCTCCAGGGCCACAGCATGGAGCCTAAGGCTCCCTTTGCTCTGACCTTGTCTTTCCTGCTCGGGACCACCTTCTGGGGTCAGACAGGCCATGTGTGTGAGGGTGGCAGGATGGGGGCCTGGGGCTACCTACCAGGACACAGAGCCCCTGGTGGGGTTGCTTGGGGCTTCTGGCTGCTGCCAGTACCTTGAGCTCTGGGACTGGCACAAGGGCCAGACAGCGCCTCAGGTGCATCCTCCAGCCCCCTGTCCTTCTGATGGCCTTGAGCCAGCCCTTTGAGGGGGAGGGAGTGAGGCTCGGTGCCCAGGTTCCTGCCGCAGCTGGGCTGCTCCAACTCCGCCCACTTTGTCAGCTGCGGCCCCTGTGCCCCACCCTGCCAACCCCCTGGAGCCTGGCTCCTTGCCCCACAGCTCCATTGTCCCAGACCTGTGGGCTCAGCACACGTGGGCTAAATGAGGGCTTCCCCACACCCCAGCCACAGGATGTCCTCGTGCGTGCGAGAACTTCTGGGAAAGCCACCCACCCCTACCAAAACTGGGGTGGGGCAGCCATTCTGGCAGAAAACTGTCCTCAAACAAAAAAGACCACGGGGTTGGGGTGGTGGACAGCGGAAGCTTCCAGCCTGGGCTGGTCTTCACTGCCTGTGGAGCTGGCTGCTGGCTGGATGAGGCTGTGTCTCCATCAGACGTGGTCACACATGCAGGCCTTTGCCACTGCTGCTCCTTTTCCCAGAAGCATCCTTCCACCTCTTTCTACCCTGTGTCCAGGCCCCTTTGTTGGCCTGTGAGAGATCCCTGAGGCCCTGGAGGGGTCCTCCCTGCTGCCTGCCTTGAGCAGGAGATAGGGGTTGAGACTTCAAAAGTGGATCCTATCTCCCCCACAACCCTGGGTACCTTTGTCCCCAAGCGGAAGGCACTGAGGAGTTGTGCAGGGGTCCAGATCTCTGCTGACTTGCTGTGTCACTTGGGGCAAATTCCTCTGCATCTCAGGCCTCAGTCTCCAGCTCTGAAATGGGTACAGAGTTGCGGGGCTCAGGTGAGCCAAGGGCATGTTGGTGCCTGGTGGCCATCGTCACATACTGGGACTGGCGGGGGATGCAGGGTAGAGAACCGGGGAGCTGCGGTGGGAGTAGGGCTGCAATTCTGCTGCTGGAGGGTAGGGATGGGGCTGGACAGGGGTCTGCCCACGGCCTGGGTCACTTGTCCTTAGTCCTCAGGTGCTTTTCCAATTGCTCCCCCTTTGTTGGAGGGGAACAGGCCACGCCGTGGTCCTAGAAATCACACCTGGGCCTGGTGTTAGGGCTCAGGCTCCCTCCGTTGCCTCATTTCCCTCTGCTTCGTCCATGGTCTTCTCACACTACAGTCTGACCCTTCTCCTTGCTGTCTCCAGCGCACCCTGAACTTTCTCTGACCTTGGGAACATCACCTGGGACATTTCACCTCCCAGTGCAGCAGCCTGTGGTGTGGTTTAGAGCAAGGACTCTGGGCTCAGACAATCAGTGTTTGAATTCTGGCTCAGCTCCACGCTCCCTGTGTCCTGTCACTTGGCTCAGTCACTGTTGTCTCCTCTGGAAGATGAAGATAGTAGTAAGAGTCATTAGTAAGAGATAATCAGTGCATGTGTCAAGGGTGCTTTCCTAAGAGCTCCATGAATGATAATTACAAGTATAAGCATTGTGCATATATATTGTGTATAGCCGTTATACATTACCCCTTACAAGATTTGGGATTTCTGTTTTACTATTGATTCTAAGTAGCTTTATCACCGTGGTAAACTCCTATGCCTGCTCCCAGGCCCATTTTTGACATCACCATCTCCACGAAGCCCTTCTTCACTATCCAGCAGGTTTTGGTGCTCCTCGCTAGCTCCCCAACATTTTAGCCCTTTTCACCGAGCATCTCAGGAATGTGCTCAGCCCCCTCAACAGACAGGGACCCAGAAAGCATCTCATCCTCTTCCCCTAACGTGTGTAAGCTCTGGTGTGACTGAACTCTCCCTCTTGCCCACATCCTAATCTGATCGCCGGTAGGTCCTGGGAGGCAGGTCCAGCAGGAAAACATTCTTTCTGTTGGTGTGAGGAAATAATATCTACCTTGGCTAATGTAAACAAGGGCGCAGTGTTCAGTGGGGTTGCAGCCTCGGGCAGGGTGTGGCATGAAGCACCTTCCCCACGTTAGCTCATCCAGTGCTGGAGTGGCCCAAGGGAAGTGCTATTTTTATCTTTGTGTTACAGATGAGGAAGTTGGTGGAGCTGGCTGATACCAGCTCGGGAGAGTCGATTGTTAAATTTTCAGGAATCGTGTGAGCTGCTTGTTAGAACCATTGTTAAACATGAAATTACACAAACTTACAATTAAATAATTCATATTAAAAAAGGGAATACATACTCAAATGTTACCACTTCCTAATAACTTTACTATGCTTAGCTATTATCTGTGTTCCTAAGTTTGATCATAGCTTTTTGTCTGAACAGTGAGTCTCCCCAGCTCCCCTCAGTGACATCTCCTTGGTGGGTTGACATCAGCCAAAACAGGAGAGTTTGCACCATGAAGATCAGCAAATGTGCCACGCAGGGCTCCTCCTCTGCCCCCCTTTCAGAGAACCAATTGTTGCACATTTACCAGTACACTACTGAGGCCGGGACACAGAAAGTTGTGACCTGGCTGTGGTTCCCCACCTAGGGAGGCACAGAGGTAGATTGTGCCCTGGCAGTGTGTCACTGGTGTCCTACCCCTACGTTGATTCTGCCCAAGTTCCGGATCACACAGATTTAGGTTAGCAGGTTCCCCCGCCCGCCCCCTGCCACCTCACTGTGCTGCTGTGGCCTGGATAGAGAAAGACAGTCGCGTTCTCACTGCCTGGTCCAGGGGCCCCGCGCTCCAGCCTTCTGTCCCTTCGTGCTCCCCTGACTCTTTCTCTTCTCCAAGGCTCATCTCACCCAGGAATTCAGGTCCATGGGGGAGCAGTCAACCCATGTGCATGCTCAGCCTGGCGGTCAGAGGCCAGACAACTGTCTGCCCACCCCCGGCCTTTGTCTGGCCATCTGCCTGGCAGCTGTAGGACTGGCTTCCGGGAGAGAAGGGGCCTGCCTTGCTGTGTGACCCAGGGTCTGCCCTGCCTTGTTCTAGGCCTCCTCATCCACCTGGGACCTCTGAGCCCCCTCCCATCACAGACAGGGGCCTCCCCATGACGTCTTCTAAGACTCTATGGCTCTTCTGTTTCAGAAGAAAAAACCCAGGTCGTATCCCTCCTTTCATTAACATCCTTTAGTGTTTTCCTTCCTTATCCATGGAAGCCACACTAGGCATAGTGGGCCACAAAGTCCTACCCCATCTGGCCTCTCACCCTTGCCTCCTACCCCTTTCCCTCTTCATCCCTTTGCTCCAGCCACTGCGGCTTCTTACTATCCCAAAACATGCTAAGTATGTTCCTGCCCTCAAGACCTTTGCACTTGGTATTCTTGCCTCAATATTTGCGTGACATTTTCTTTTACTTCTTCCAAGTCTTTGTCAAATGTCACCTTCTCCGGCCCTCCTGTGTGAAAATACAACATCTGCTCTGTCTCTCTTACACACAAATTCTGTATATTTCTTATCTCCTGTGCCTGTCCTTTTACCTTTCTTCATGCCTGCCACTATCTGATGTACTATGTTATTTATTTATGCTCTCTTGAATGTGTTCTCTAGAGTGAAAGCTCTGCCGTGGCCATGAATTTACTCTGTGTCATGCACTGGTATATCTTTACCCTAATGCATTGCGTGGTGCATCCTAGGTACCAAAAAAAGAAAAGACTAGATGGATGGACCAATGAGTGAATGAGTGTGACAGGGTTCCTACTTGTCAGGAAAACCTCTGAAGCCCCTGGAAGCAAGTGTGACTGTGTGACTTGGCAGGTAGTGAGACCTGGGGTTTCAGGCCTATTTCTGTTCTGATTTGCTCTATGACCTTAGGTAGATTCCTTTCCCTCTCTGAACCTCTCTCCCAAGTATAATAAAGAGAATGATTTGCAAAAGTAAGAGAGGCTCAGAAGTCAGACAGACAAGGGGTCAAATTCCCATTGGGACATGAATTGCACGTGGGAAATCAGCAAGGGACTCCCTTCCCCTCAAGTCTGTCTCCTCTGTGAGGTAACAGATATTGTGATGAACCCCACTGTAGTGGTTGGTATGTAGAAAGTATCCAAGGGGACCCCCTACCATGGACAAGCTGGGTGAGCGTGGAAGAGGTGGAGTCATGGTATTACCCTAATCTGAATGGTATCGCCCACCTGCCCTGCCCAGTGCTGGCCCAGTGGAGGATTCCCATCCCTGTGGCTGCTTCCTTGGTCCCCAGCCCAGGCTGAGGTCCACCTCATGGGCATGTGTCCTCGAGGCGGGGTTGTTTTGGTCATTGGGCCTGGTGCAGGGAGCCAGGGCCACCTCTGCAGCTCTCCTCTCCCTGCAGTCTTCATCTGCAGCTTCATGGTGGCTGCCCCCATCTTCGGCTACCTGGGGGACCGCTTCAACAGGAAGGTGATCCTCAGCTGTGGCATCTTCTTCTGGTCAGCAGTCACCTTCTCCAGCTCCTTCATCCCCCAGCAGGTGAGGCCCACCCCCCTGCCCACCTGGGTTCCTGCTCTTCCGTCCCCATGTTCAGGTCCTCGGTGGGTGGCTAGCCTGTTTATCTTAGCTTGAACCCATGTCAGTGCCTTTGCAGCGCAGAAGGACACTGGTAGTGTCCTTGGATGTTTTTATTAACCAGCCCTACAGACAGGGCCTTCTCCATGCCAGCCTATTACTGGGGCCTTGCAGCCCTAGGTGGCATCCTCACTCTTTCCAAGCTGCCCTCTGACTTGGACAAGATACAAGGAACGGGAAACAAGTCTGGCCTAGGAGTTAGGACCCTGACTTCCAGTCCTGGCCCTGCTGTTATCTTGCTGTGTGGACCTCAGTGAGTCCTACCCCTCTCTGGATCTTCCTCACTTTGCCTGTGACAAGCAGCTAATGCCTCAGGTCTAAGTCCCAGGGAGGCAAATATCAACTCAACATAAAGAGATTTCTCACATGGCTTTTATGGTCCTGGGTTTGAATATCACAACTCTGTTGTTCACTCATCTTTGTGGCCTGGAGAAATGTACCTAATCTCTCTCAGCCTCAGTTTCCTTATTGTTAAAATGCTTCTTGAAGGTTTCTCGTGAGAAACAACCTGAGCTAACGAAATGTCCAGACCCTGGAACAGGGCAAGTATTTAATAAATCTTTACTTCTCTTCTTTCTTCTAAAGAGGAGATATGTTGCCTTGTGTGGGTAAGGAGTTTCCCACTGCTAAGATTGTTCAAGCAGAGGGTGGAGGAAGGAGGAGAGAAAACCAAGATCTGTCCTCATGAACTTTGAGTCCTGCCTGTCCTTGAGAGCGTGGGTGGGAAAATGTGACAGAAGCTCCCAGCTTGGAGCCTTCAAGACTCACAAAGTATGGAGCAGTCTCTTGAAATCCATGGGGTCAGGGAAGACTTACTGGAGGAGGCTGCATGGGAACCAGAGAGCAGGCCTGGGAGGCAAGGCCTTTTGGCAGAGGTGGCATGGGCAGAGGGGATCTACCCAGAGGACAGAATGGCAGTATGTAGAGAGGAGGAGGAAGGAGTTGGCCAGAAAGGAAGGCAGGGACCAGATCATACAGAGCCTTGAGGGCCAGTTCAGGGGGACTTGCCATCCTCCTGGGGCAGTGGGAAGCCACAGAAGAGTTTGAAAAAGGACAAGGACAGATCAGATTCCTGTCGATGGAAGGGAGAGTGAGGTGAAGGCAGAGAGCCGAAAGGATTGCAGTTTCACGTAGGCTGTGGGCCAGGCAGAGTTTGAAGGCCTCAGCAGAAAATAGGAACCTCTAAGGCCTCTTCGGGGCCTCATCCTGACCTGGGTGCCTCGCCCCCATTCAGAGCTAGGGCAAGGAGCCAAGAGGCGGAGAGGAAAACAGATTGCTCCCAAATATGGCAGTGTGTAAATTCATTGCAATGGCACTCCTTGTTCCCTGGGGACTTCTCGTGGACCTTGGAAATACGATTCTGAATTTGGCCGAGAAAATCCCCATGGACAGCCAAAAGCAATGTGAAAAATCAGTGAAAGCGGATTCACCCTATGGGGTATTTTTAAATACCAGCTACTGAGCCAGGCATTCTGGTGCATGCTTATAATTCCAGCACTCTGGGAGGCTGAGGCAGGAGAATTGCAAGTTCAAGCCCAGACTGGGCCACTTAGTAATTTAGTGAGACCCTGTCTCAGAATAAAAAAGAGCTGGGGATGTAGCTCAGTGTGAAAGCCTTGCGTTCAATACCCAGTAATGCAAACAAACAAAACTCAAAAACAAACAAACAAAAAACTAAAAAAAAACCCCCAAAACCCACAAAAAGCAAAAACCAAAAAAAAAAACCAAAACAAAAAAAAAAACCCAAAATCCACAGGTATTCTAACTAAAACAGTTGAGGGATAGATGAAGAGACCAATGAAATCAAGTCCTTGTGTCTCTGGGGATTGAGTGTAGGATGAAAGTTATATCTCAAATCAGTGGTTGGGGAAGAAATGATCATCTGTCTGGGTAAAAAATAGTTTGGCCAGGCCTGGTAGTGCACACCTGTAGTCCAGCACTTGGGAGGCTGAGGCAGGAGAATGGCTGTGAGTTTGAGGCCGGCCTGAACTACATAGCCCAGACCCAGTAGAAAAACCAGCAAAGGGTAGTTACAGGCCATTCCAGGAGAAAATACCCAAATGGCCAATAAATTTAGGATGAGATGGCTCAGCCTCTGGAGTAATCAGAGAAATGCAAATTAAAACAACAATGAGACACCATTTCACACTCATCAGATTGGCAACAATTAAAAAGGCCGACAATACCAAGTGTTATTACAGCTGTGGGGAATCCAGGTCTCAAGAGTTGCTGGCGGGAGTGTAAATTGCTAGAACCTCTTTGGAGATCACAATGGCACACACACGCCTGTAGTTGCAGCTACTTTGGGATGATAGGGTGGGAAGATTGCTTGATTTTGTGAGTTTGTGATACAGTCAAACGTAAAACATGGGCCAGGCGTGGTGGTGCACATCTGTGATCCTGGCATGACGTGAGGCTGAGGTGAGAGAAAGAGAAGTCTGAGCCCAGCCTGGGTGACGTAGTGACTTAGGGAGACCCTGCCTCCAGAGATGAAAAATAAAAAAGAAAAGATGGGATGTAGCTCAGTGTGAAAGCGGCTGGGGAAAGAAGGAAAAGAAAAGAAAAGGAAGAAGAAGAAGAAAAAAAGAGGAAATAATGCCAGTGACCATCTTGAGGCCTAGGCCCGCACAGTTATAAATGGGGCATATTCATGCTGCAATTTCAGATAGCAGAAAAATGAACTAGATCTAAAGTAACCTGCACGAATGGGTTGCAAAAGAGAGAGGAATGAGGAAAAAAAAACACGTGGCAGAGTAAAATGCATGGAATGGGTCCTTTTATGTTTACTTTTTACAAACACACAGAGGACACTAAGTGCTGTTTATTGGTACCTAAGTGTGCAACAAGGCAGAGGTGGCTTCACAGCAAGTGCACAGTCTAGCAGGCTCCTGTGGGTCGGGTAGGGACACACAGGGCCCCTTCTGCCTGCTAGTATGCTGGGAATGATGAATGATATTCATCCCAGCCTCTCTAAAATGTAACAAATATAAAATTGAAGAGAATGTTTTTATGCTTTGGGGAGAGAGTAAGCTTTCCTAAACAAGGCATTAAGGAAAAATAAACAGATTTGACAGCAAATTAAAGAGAACATCGGGAAGCTTAGCAATAGTGAAACTCACCATAAGCAAAGTGGAAAGACAATTGAAAACGTTGGTGACACAGATGATAAAGGATCAAGCCCTGTGGTGTAGGAAAAGCTAATATAAATCAATACCAAAAAAAAAAAAAAAAAAAAAAAA